ATTGTAATGCTCAAAAACTTACCACCAGGCTTATTGAAGCCACCTCGCTCTCCAGCGCTGCTGGGGGGATAAACGAAGAAATGAAGGCCTTTCCCTTTACAAAGCCAGTACCGCTCTGAGCCTCTGCGGCTCACTGGGAAGAAGGGCACTGGCTAAAACATCTCCAAACAATGCATCTGTCTCTCTCTCTCTCATCTCGGCACTATGCCTTTCTTCAGGGCAGCTCGCTCAAATTTCCTTTACATATACGCAACCTCGCTTGTCTGGTTTTAGACACCGCTTTGCTGTCGGTACCCTTGCATTATTTGTATGGGTATTAGCGGTGCAATACTTGGCCAAAAAAAAAAAATATATATATATCTGGTTTTTGAGCGTTATAAATTGGGCTTTTCGCTTCAGAGAAATCGTGAGGTCGTTCGCTGGTCAACTCCCTCCCCTCTGTGTGTACATAAAGGTGCACCCTCAGCCTCTCGCAGCACGAGAGCGAAACGAGCCCGCGGGTCCCTGACATTAACAGTTAAAAAGGTAGGAGACAACCACACGCGATACCTACAATACAGTTCAGATGACATTTCCGCTAAAAACCTCGGTATAAAGCCATACATTCAGGTCGTTACTGAATTTAACAAGTCTCTGTGGAGGGAGAACTTACAGAATACAGCGGAGGCTCGAAGGCCTGGGGTGCAGCTTTGTGGACACAGCCCAGAACGGAAGATTTCGGCGCGCGCCAATGCAAACCGAACGGCCGCAGCTTTCGTCGAAAGCTTTGGCTGAAGCGTTCAGCTAAGACCGCTTTCAAAAGCTGGTTAATTAGGAAAATGCCACCTGAAAAGGATTTCGATGTTTCTCGCTCTTTTTTGGAGAGACGAAAAAAAAAAAGCTGTTTGGAAGGAGACGAGCAGAGGAGGGAGAGCACCGCCTGTTTTCTAGCAAGTATTGCACCTCTAATACTGGAAAAAAAAAAGTCGTCAATACACAGTTTCAAGCTGTTGCATGCAGCTTTGCCTCCTTTTGTTAAAGTACACACCATTTACGTAATGTCTCTCTTTTTAAACACAGACGTTTACACTTTTTAACGTTACACAATTCTAAAGTAGTATACCTCCTCTGGTTTTATTACCAAACAACAAGTACGCAGTTACCAAAGTTACAGAAGGATTCCATTTATACAATGAATACATTTGGTTAAAAATATTCTATGTATATTTTTCCTCTCCATATGGACACCGTGTCTAGTCCCACTTTTCATTATGCTGCCGGCTGAGTACTGAGTACGGGTACTTTTTAAGTATTGAAGTGTATACAAGGCTCTCACTTTGTAACCTGTAGCATATAAATGCGACAAAGCATGTTAAAAAGTTTCCATGTTTAACAGCCAATGAAAATATAAAATAATTGAGTCAATGAAAAAGGGCACGTTAATAACATCGAGCTCCTTACCTGCCGGAGACACTGAAATCCATCACCACAGCATGATAAGAAGGGCCGAGTTCCCCTACCTGCCCCTTGGCGTTCATAGGAAGGCCGCCTTTTCTATGGACAGCAGAAAGTCTACGTCCATAAAGCAGGGGAGCCTTTGTAATGGTCTACTCAGGTGGAAATCACTACGTACGCAATTTAAGCTCGGATTAGGGCGTGAAATCAGAGACAGATGACAAATCTTTTGCATGAGAAGCTCCGAAGGGGCTAGAAATTTGAAGATGTGATGATAGACATTTCAGGTGTCTACATCTACTTTAAACCATTAGAGATAAATACATCATGGGTGAAATCTTTATGCAGAACCGTGGAACTCTGTTCCGCTCGAGCCAATTCAAGCCAGATGTGGTCCAACACAGGCCAGTCTTTTTTCTTGTATTTCCGTACACCGGTAGTTGTATTTCTCCGATAAAGATTTCATGCCACTTCAATACATTTCGACAGAGCTATGCAGAATGGGACTATCGATTGCCAAACTCTGGTTGCCACCAGGTTGTCAAAGACCTTTAAGAAGTTGCCTAGGGAGGAGAAGCTGCCATTCCGTTTGCAACGCAAACGCTGTTCACCCCACGCCACATATCCAGCGTGCGCACCTAGGGACACTCTGCATAGCTCTGAACGACGGTGCGAAGGGATGGAACACACACAAAGCTACATCTTCCTTCTCTTAGGAGCCTTTGGGATTAGTCCTCCTTCCTCGCCGCTAGCAAAACGAACATCACAGACAGGGAGACACACTGCTGACCTGAAGGCACAGGTTTCCCAAACCAGATTTTGCCATCAGTTAAAATGGCCAAACTGATTTAGACCACCCGAAAGCTCCAAGGGGGAGCAGTCCTGGGAGCCAAGCCACATCTCTTGACTTTCTCGGGGTCTTTCTTTCACGCTCCAACCAAGCTCTAAGTGTTCTGGGCCACTCAGAGTCATGGCTTCGACAGCAGCGATCTGCCCCGGGGCATACACTTACAGACGTAGCTCCACGTGCTACTGCTAAGGTGAAGAGGCTGACGGCAGAAGACGGGGCTGACGCGAGGCCTCTGCCTTGTACATACCTGAACTGTCAAGGTCCCCACTGCCGAGGCACAGGGAGTGACTCCCGGACCTGGCGGAAGGTTTGTGTGTGTTCGATCCGGAGTTACTGTTAAACCCCACAGAGGATTTCACCTCTGTGCGACCACGAAGGGAGCTGAAAGTTCCAGGTTTAGCAATACCCCAAACTTCCCCCCGCCCAGGGCCCAACCAGCCGCAGGACATAAAAAAATAAACAGATCCTGCTCCTATTTCCCCTAGGATAATATTTCCATGGATTAGAAGCAATGATGGTACAGAGATGGTCCCCATGGAAGTACCGTTGTGAATGTCAACCTTTCAGTCCCTTCTTTCCATTTCAAATCCTATGGGTAAAACAGAATTAGATAAAAGGAGAAAAGATTTGCTCTTACCCCATTCCACCGCGTCCTCCTCCCCGCCCACCTCTGCTCATGCCTCCGCGATCATATCCCCCTCTTCCCCTGCCCCGGTTATCAGGGCCGCTCATATTCCGATTCTCTCCCGGGCCTGAAAAGCCTCCGGATTCCTGTCCATACACGTTCATGCTGCTAGGATGGTCCTGACGGAACGAGCCTGAGAAAGTTCGTAACAAAAATGTTAGGGAGCTGCAGATAAGAGGGGGTCGAAGCTGCCTGTCCCCTTTTTCAGCCCTGCCTTCAGCACCAGAACAGAATCACAGCAATCATTTCCCACAGCGCTCACAGCGACAGCGTTAATTTAAGGAGAACGACGCCAAACTTCCTTCAGAGACATCCCACCCCGCAAGGGCAAGGGACACCGGCCCTCTTCCTCCACGAGCACGCGGCTCTGCTGAGCACACTCACTCTGTTGGCCGTAGCTGCTGCTCTGCTGGCTGTACTGGCTCGGGGCCTGGCTGTAGGATCCCGTCTGGGGAGGGTAACTGGTCGGCGGCGGCTGCTGCCCGTAGCTGCTCTGCTGGCCATAGCTGGTCTGTTGTCCGTAGGTGCTCTGTTGCCCGTAGGTGCTCTGCTGGGAGTAAGTGCTCTGATCGTAACTGCTTGGCTGTGTGGAGGAATAGCTGGAAGACAAAAGCGTTGAAAAGATGGCAAGATGAGCCAATTCACTGGCAACGTGCATTAGGCTGCGGAAGTGGCTCACACTAGATGGTAATGCAATTATAAGCCATATGTCGCGTTGTAAACCATTTAAAAAGGTGAAGTCATTCTACGGAGGCTTGTCTGGCGGCAGGAGACAAAATAAACCTGGTCGACTGCTAAAAGCAAAGCCCATGCAGCCATTCACGATTTATTCATACTGCTAGAAAGAGGCAGAAGCGCCAGGGAGTGGCAAGGCAGGTAACAGGCTCCCTTCTGCCTCAGCACTGAAATATTTTCAGCCGATGGATAACAGAACAGTTGCCCCTCACACATCTCAGGCTTTGGGAATTTCAAAATAGAGACTTTAGAAATCAGCACGTTAAAGACATCAGAGGGGAAGAGGTGAGCTCCTTGTCAAAGGCACGTGTAAGGAGGCAGCAAAGGGTCCGTGTAACACACTCCCTACCTAGGAAAACATCTTAAAACCCTTTGCCATCGTTACACCTTGCTACTGCAGGTACGTACGCAGAGACAATTACGCACTCCATCACAGCCACATCTTCCCTGTGACAAGAAGTACCCCAATAAGAACCACACCTTCCTCCTCCCAGGACACCGAACCTCCTTTTACATCTGTTCGTTTAAAATCCCTGGAGAAAACCCCCTTTGCCCAAGCTGACCTGACAGTTCCCAGGCTAGCTGTGCGAGGCTTAGCCCGCTGGGAGAGTTACCTGGTAGGAGGATAGGAGGGAGGCGCAGTGACCGGCTGCATGGGGTAGCTGGCAGGCACCTGAGGATAGCTGTAGTTGCTCTGTCCATACCCTAGGCTGGGCTGGCTGTAGCCTGTCGTACTCGACGGCGGCTGGCTGGTCTCTGCTGGTTTGCTGCCATCCTGGGGTCTACGGAGCAATATTGAACAAGAAGGAAAGATTGGTGTGAACCCCCACCTCTGGAAGTAACGAAGGCGCTCGGATCCCACCCCCCCCCAAGACAGAACGGCACTACCTATGTCTTTGGGAAGTGTTACAAGCTGGCACTGCGTCGGTGTCAGTTGCTCCGGCAGAAGCCAACGTAGGTTTATTAAACACTAAACATTTTAGCGCATGCTGACTGGGCATTTGCACGCTCCTCTGCCATCAGGAAAGGCCCGGGCAGCATCCTGAACAGAGAGCACTACAGCTTCTGTTCACCAGCTGCGTTACGAAACCGAAGGCGAGGGATGTAGACTTTGGCTCTAGAATTGAGTCGAGGATGTGAAATGGCCAGGAAAGCAGCCAGCAGCACTGCCCCTGCGCTTGAGCTGGTTTTGCACAACGCTTGGAAACGATGAGCTCAAAAGCAGCCAGAAACGCTGTCAGTTAAATGCACCATTGTTTGGTTTAGAATTCAGTGCAAACAGACATTGCCCCATATACGTTATCCGATGAAAGGGAAAGGACGTTGGGGGTTGGACTAGATGACCTTTAAAGGTCCCTTCCAACCCAAACTATTCTACGATTCTATGTTTAGTGTTAACTCTCAAGACCTGAAAATAAAGAGAACCACGTGATTTGCATGTCTCCTTCTTTTATATTTGTCCCATACTGTTTATAATCTCTAAGTGTTTATCAGAGCGGAGTAAAAAGAGTTAAAGCTACTTTTGTTGTACAAGCCAGGAAAAAAATATTTTAAACGATGTCAGGATTCATACTTAAAAGTATAATCTGGAAGATACAGAGCTGTGCCAGGCTCCGCCTTTCCTTACTGGAGTGGTTGCTATAAACATCAGGTAAACCAAAAAAGCAGTTTTTACTGACTATTAAACAAGTTTCCATTACGTACGCTAAACCTTTCATATCCTGAGCAAACAATTAAACTAAATATACTATTGACAGCGCCCAGATTGAAAAAGGAAATTGTCTTCAGCATCTGCATCCACTCCAGAAGTCAGAGTATGTAAGAGCACCCTGCCTGACCCAGTGACTCAAGATGAGATCAGACTGGTCCATTTTCTGTTCTACGTTGTGAGTCAAGAGCCCATTTTTGCCGCTGGGTTGCTCTCCGCAGCTCTCAGTAACGGTGCTGACTCACCGCGCCGGAGCAGAACCTACCTACGCTGCTTCCTCCAGCCCTGAAACGCGAAGAGATCAGATGCAGCGAGAGCAAAGCTCAAGCGCGACAGGCAGAGAAAAGGTGTAAACAAAACCAGCAGGCCCCAGTTCAGCTGGTGGTGGCGCTGGGGTTCTCCCCAACAGCCTTAGGAGGAAGAGAGGAATCGGATGTTACCTTGCGGGAGCGGACGCTGCTGGCTGCTGCCCGTAGGCTGGGTAGGCAGGCTGGGTGCCGTAAGCGGACGGTGCTGCGTAAGAAGCCTGGGTGGTGGTAACCGTAGCGGTGCTAGTATCGTAGGTGGCTGTGCCGTACCCCTGGACGGGCTGACTGTATGCTGGGGGAGCAGTTGGGGTGGTATAACCTAGAAGAGACGACAGCTTCATCAGATTAGATTGGTGACCTTTGCTCGTCACGTTTCGGACTACTGCGCTTCTGTTGACGGCATATCAGACCTCGGGTGCAGCACCAATTTTACCACTGCAAAAATACCACAGATAACCTTAAAATGATGAACTAACTCACCCCACCCCTTCGCCTTCCTCAGAGAAACCCTCTGCCTTGGGAAGCCTCAGTCTGCAGCCCCAGCTCTACCCTCACCACCCAAAAACCACGCTCCGCGGAGCTTTCTGGAAGCCACTCTTCAATCAGCATCCAAAGGCTGTTTGTTTACAGCTACCGAAGCTCATGGCTAATGTAATAAAGTGCATGCAGGGCAAGCTGAGGCATGCAGCGTCTTCTGAACGCAGGAAGACTAAACAAAGCTCCTGTCGGCCCTAAAGTGAAAGAAATCCAATCATTTAAGAAGTATGGTCCCATCCTTTCAGCTTTTCTGAAAAATAAAAGCACAAAATGGCACCAGGCTGACTTGACAAGTCTTTCTGAGCCATTTATGAAGTCTTGTTTTAAATCAGTAATTCTGGAAACAAAAGAAAAGCACTTTGCATTTGCTTTAACTTAAGAGAAAGGTCAAAAAAGAGACGTAAGGTAGCTCCTGATGTTTTCTTAGAATTTCAGTTTGCTTTAGTAAAAAGCTTAGAGCTCATGCATTTATTTTTGAACAGTTTTACAAGAATATCGAAGATCCCGAAACAGCTCCATTTAAATTAGTCTTTCCAGCAGCCGCCGCTGTATAATTTAGCCAACCGTTTGGCTTGTCACAAAGGTGAAATATAAACCCGGTATTAACACGGTGGCTTTTTATAGTTAAGAACCTTGCGAGCAGATTTTCAGATTATGAAACAGAGATTTAAGTGAAAAAAAGATCAATTAAAGATCTTGTTAGCAAAAGCTGACTTACTAAAAATATAAAACATTGATTGCCAAAGAGGAGCCAACTGGTCTCAGTCTTATTGATGTGATCTTAATTGCATCAATTAAAGTAACAGCTTCTCCATCGCTTCTTATTTTTAATAAACATTGGACACTTTTGACATATTCTTCCTTCTAATGATACAACATTTTACGCAAACTGTGCGGTAGCTTTTTATTTCAATTCCCTAATTTGCAAAACCAAATGTATTTCCAGCGGAATATAGCATGCCTTCCCAAAAGCACCGCAGAACTTCCACATCCTGCTGTCCCTGCTACAAAATCAGGACCCTTCCCTACGGCTCTCTGAATCAGCGAGTAAAGAGGAAGAGAAGCGAGAAGAGGAAGTTTGCACAGAACGTTAATTAAAAAAAAAACAATCTGCAGCTTTCTGTCCCGAGTGTCGCTCTTGAGCTTTCTGGTTAGCCTCAGGATCCTGACGAAGGGACAGGAGCCTGTCTGCTTTCGTCACCTGCAACAGCTAGCTTAGGAGCCCCTGCCCGCTCCCACAAGCCTCATTCCTCCTGCCCTCGCCCCCCCTACGCTACCGCCCTCCTAGAAACATCAAAGCGAGAGAGTAAGCTGGTCTCCCACCAGGAAGTAACTTGCACGAATCACAAGCAAATTGGTTTTCATGGTCATTATTCCTTTTTTGCTGAAAGGTTCTCTGAAAAGTAAAGTCCTGTTCCGAGTGTTGCCAAGCAGGGTGAATGGGATGATGTCAAATGGGAAAAAATGAGCATGATTTTTAGAGGCTCAGACAAATTTAAACAGTCGAAACACTTAAATGTGAGCAACCACAGCATTTCCACAGAAAGCACCGACACCAGAAGTTAAAGGAATCCTTATTTGAACTGGCCAAAGCCTGACCACATTCTACAACAGTCGGCAGTGAGCGCTGCTGAAGCCACAGCCCTGCCCTGGGCTGTTCTCGTCAGACCCAGAGCCACAGGGTGGTTCTGCCACATCCGGGTCCCCTTTCTCGGCACTGTTACCAGCAGCACTAACCTCTCCGATCAAGCAAGCAAGCAGGTTTGCTAACGCCTGGCTCTGCACAGTCAATAGAATAAAAAGGAGGAAAAAAAAAAAAAATCCTGAATTTTAATGCTTCAGCTCTAGATGGAGTGTTTCCCTTGTGCAAGTGTGCTCAGTAGGAAGGGTTTGTACCAGAAAAAGAAAAGCCAGCGATTTAACATCCCACTGGTTTGAATTTTCATTTCAACAACTTCATTTACTCTGAAAATCCTCAAGAACTGTATTTTTGAGGGGGCCATTCAGGTTACATCACTTCTCTCTCCTCCCCCCTCCCCAGTTAGTAAGATAAACGGCGAGTCTGCAAAATAGCTACTGTAAGAAAAAGGTAACAGAAGAACTTTGACAACCTGTTTTAAGAAGTCCAGTTACGTGGCTCAGTTTCCTCTCAAAGGCTGCAAGAAAAACCCTTACTCAAGTCTAGGAATTCTTCAGGTGGAGGGGAAGCTTGCAGGATTTGGTCCTCAGAGCACATCAACTGAAAATACTGGATTCAAAGAGATTTATTCCGAAATAAGCAGGCTTTACGTCAGCTAGGACAAGTTTTTGAAGGCTTCTCTCTGATGCAAGCAGCATGAAAACCTACCCATGGGGTCTGCGTGCCAACTCGCGTTTGGCACGTGTATTTTCTCTGCTCCATTTTGGTGCAACAGATTGATGTGGTAGCCAAGACACCGATGGGTGCATTCATTTCAAATCCTGAAACATCAGAAACTTAAAATATACATAACCCTAAATTTCACAGGTAAAAAGAGAAGTGGGAGCTGGCTGTCTTTAGAGAGTAATTCCCAGTTAGCTGCTTAAAGGAGATTCATACTTGCACCTTTGAAATGATGTTTTTGCCCCCAAATGACGTTGTTAGAAAGCCAATAACCCTAACAGATGCAGCTCTTTATTTACTCTTGTAATTTGTGCTTCTACACCGCAGCAATTAAAGAGCAAACCATGACCACAGATCCGACGGTGCCGATTAATCCCCTAATCCAGTTGGCGTCCAGGGAGCCGCAGAGGAGCCCGCAGAGGAGCCCGCAGGCTCCCGAGTAACAAAGGGACGAGGTGACTCCAAGAGACCTTTCAAAAAACAGCCCCGGGGAGGGAAGAAAAGCAACCTGGGCGGTAAGTGTCACCTCGGGCAGCCCAGGAGTTGATGGCAGAGTGCTTGGGACAGAAAGGTGCCCGGGCAGGCTAAACCAGTCCTCCTTGGAGGCTCTGAGGTGACGCAGAGGAACCGTCTCTGCCGTTCCTGCAGAGTCCTGAGAGTGTATACCTGCACAGGACTTCTATTTCCCTGACAAAAATAACATTTTAACCAAAAAATAGGTTGTTAAGACAAAAAAAGGCGCTTTGCTTTTAAGTCATTGCAGACATTCTCCTACTACAAAAAGGCGATGCCTAGGAAAAATAAATTCAGGTTCAACTGTAAAAATTGTACTTCTCTTACGGCACAAAGATGTATGCTCCAGGCAACACCCCGGGCTTTATTTAGTATGAAAGGCAGAGCCGGAGAGAGGGAGACAGGCTTTAAGCACTAGAGTCTCATTTGCACAGCTCTGGCTCCTCAAGGAGAGGCAGGTGTAGGAAGAATAAACACAACCTGGCACTCTGTCTGGAGAATAACATCAACAGTTCTGCCACACACCAGCGCTACGTGGACTGAGGCAAATCGTACTCGAAGGTCTGATAGGATCTTTTGTCTGACCACTTCTTTTCTTTTTTTTTTTTTTGATAAAAAGAAAATGAAGCTTTTCATCCAAAAAAAGGGAACCTGTGCAGAAAAGGTGACAAATATTATTCCTCCAGCAAATATACTCCTAAGGGAGAAGCAAACACATAAACAGCGCAGCTTCCTGTGACCCCTGCAGGGCTGGAGTCAGTGGTAGGGATTAAAGGACTCAAACATTTCTAAGAAAGAAATTTTGCAAGTCCACAAATCTTTTTTGCTGCTGATTTATGTCTATATACTTTTAAAGGAAAGAAAAATAAACACCCTGCAGATAACTCTCAGCAACGCTGGCTAATGGCTACTGGCTCTCATTCTGCAGGACATGTGCTAATTACCAGGCAGAAATTTTCCTCATCTGCGTACAGATGTTCAATATTTGAAGTGCCATATAACTGGCTAACTATAGGGTATAGACTATAGGTTACAGACTATAGGATAACATTTTCTCTCCACCTCTTCCTTGTGAAGCATTCTCCAACGGCTTCTGCAGCCAGAGACCACATTGCCTGTCTGTTCTGGTATTCCCTTGCTTTGGGAAGTGTTTAAGAAAGCTCCCACTCTAACAGACATTTAGAACATCTCTCATAACAAAGGATGAATCTGCAGAAAACAGCACCCAAGGCATTACTTAGAGGAAAATGCGTTTTCTTTTTCAAAGCCTCCTGAATATTCAGCCCGAACATACCAGAATCGAATGATGTCTCAATAGTTTTTTTCAGACATTAAGACACTCGTACGTACAAAACTCCAGTTCAAAGAGCACACGTTGGAATAGTTTACAGCGTGTTAACGAACATGTGACGTATGCGTCTGCACTGGAAATCCAACGACAACATGGAACATGCAAAGGTGGTGGCTGGGACGTTTGGACGTGTCCAACCGTGCTGTTTACCCTTTAGGGTAGGACAGTGGGATTAGATTCACCCAAAATGCCTGGGCCTGGCTGTCATTAGCGCTCAGGAAGTTTGATCCATAAAGTACGCCACTCGGAGACTTTACAGACGCGGAGATGGCAAACAGCATCGCAGCCCAGCAAATTCTTACTGACATTGTGCGGGCGTGCTCTGACGTTGGACGTTTTTAGAGCTAAAACCAAGTGACACCTAAAGGGTTAACACCACAAGTTTAGACAGGATGAGACAGCATTTTCCATGCAAGAGTGAGCAGGATAGTCAAACCTGTACTGGTCCCTTCTACTGTGGGAAGCACAAGACAAAAAGTAGAGGGTAAACTATCAGAACAGGCATACATCACTTCCACTGATTTGATTTTCAGGCAACCAAAGCGCTGAGGACACCGGTTCTCAAGAGCAGCCAGAGCACACACGCCCAGGGCTCTGAGCACAGTACGCTCTGCAGCCACGCTCAGTTCCGCAGCGTGAACCAGCACCCAAAACGTCCCCTGAAAAAATTAAACGGGCATGTTTTCTTCGCATCATTTGAAACTGCCCTTCGCTGAAGGCAGGCTCTTGAGGAAGGAAGCTCTTTCCACATCAGAGCTGCCCAGACTAATTCAGTATGGCTTGGCTCGGAGTTCCCCAACGCTGACTTGAGCTCAAGTCTCTCCCCAGGTAAGTCAAGCCTTGCAGGCATGGGGGCTCTTACCGGTAGGAGGCTGCCCGTAGGACGTCGCATACGCAGTCTGCCCGTACGTCGCAGTCGTCTGGGGCTGTGTGTAGCTGACATCGGTGGGTTGTCCGTAGGTTCCGTAACTCTGCCCATACGTCTGCTCCAAAGATAATACAAAATTTAATTTGTGACCAGAAGTGACTCACAGGTGTTGCAGAGGTACACACAGACTGTTTCGGTGATGTACACAGACTGGGGGACCTGTGTTACCTGATGTACTGAAAGCAATCAGAGTCAAGCCAAGGCTACTGTGAAAGTTTGAGCGCTACTGCAAATTTCAGTTCAGATCTGTAACGAAGTTACAAACGCAGTTTTTCAATGCCAGGATCAGAGGGGCAGCCTCTTACATTTTCACAATACACTTCTGCTTTATGTAAAGCGAAGCATGAAAGCGTCCAGCGCTTCATAACTGCCTGGGCACCCATCAACACTCGCAGGTACCTCCCGAGGGCTAACTTGAAACGCGAGGAGTGGGACTACTCAGAGGGCAGAACTACACGAATTAAAACAAGTCAGCTACTTCAGCATAAAACTGCTTTAGCGTTCAGTAGAGGAAACCTACTTAAGCTTTCAACGAAGTTACTCTGATTATTCCTCATGTCCACTGGCCAATAGTTTCAAAAATAGGAGCTTATGTAGGCACCCGAGGATGAGATCAGTGGGAGCACCCGAGTGCTCGCCATCGCCAAACTGTCCCCGTTACTGCTCCTCCCGTCCCGGTGCCTTTGCATTCAGCGAGAGATCAGCGCCCAACTCGCACCTTACCCGGAGCTCATTTTCATGCCTAGACTATCACTAAACAACCAGTTTAGCGATACACTTGCCAGCCTGCTCACATTTGTCCTTCCGCGTAACCTGCGGAGTTGTTAGCAGTTCTTGCAATTGTTCTGTCTCAAGACGCTTATTCAAAATAAAAATCGCCATCGCCTTCATTTAAGCCGAACCAAATGCCAAGACTGAAGCTGTGCTCCTCCTGCAACGCTGGTATTTTTCACAAAGGGCTTTCTTACCCTGCCACAGGAACAAGCAAGCGCAGTATTCATGCAGCCTCACCTGCCTCGGACCGGCTAGCGCAGGCAGGTGCAGGCAGCAGCAGGCAGCGTGGCAGAGGCAGCCCCAGCAGGCACGGGAAGGCAGCTCCCGCTCAGCCGAGCTGTTGCCACAACCAGAATTGACCGATTTGAAGCTGCTCAGTAATGCTCCAACATGACAACGCGGTGGGTTTTATCTCCGTAATACAGACATACTTTTGGGTGGATGGATTTTCCCTTCAAAAACCTCTGTGGAGAGGCAGGGGAAAATTAACCTACACCACTTCTAAGGACAAAAGTTTACTTTTGAAAACATACTTGGAGTGCGTATACAAATGTGTTTTTAGTAACTTGTATTCTAAGGATTAAAAATAAGCATGGTTTAATTAATCTCTTAAAGATCATCACCATTTTGCAGTCTAGCCAACTGAGAGTATTAACAGTTTTAGCAACAATACCTCCGTGAAAAAATCTAATGGCAATTTAACCCCCCATTCTAAGCTTTTTCTCTCCTACACACTGCTGAGTAAACACCCACCAACACGGTGGTGTCAAACATACACCGCGAATTAGGCTCTTAGAACCCTCTGGACAACAACCACCTTAGGCTAGGATATATTAACAAAGCAGGGGACTGTTGAGGCTCCTCGACATTCAGATTGTTTTCACTTTAAGAAAGCAGTTCAGGCTGCGTGGGAAGCTCCAAGACAACTTTTAATGACAGATTTTGACGCTGCCACTCAGCGTTTTTCATGGCCGGCAGAGCCCCGTGTAGTTTACTGGAAGACGTGATTCAGCAACAATTATAAAACTATCTCGTGTTTTACCTGGGTGGTCTGTGCGTATCCTTGAGCTGGCTGAGGTGCATATGCGCTGTAGCTGTAAAATGAATTTAAAGACATTTATAATTCATCCCCGTGTTCCTGACTTGTGCAAAACATATATCTCAAGGCAATTTCCATATATCCAAATGATTTCTGCTGAAATACTATGGTAATACAATATCTAGAAGCTAAAGGTAAACCATAGGATTTGCAGACATACCTGAGTTAAGACTAAACCACAATTATTATATACGTATATTACATCTTTTTAAAACAGAGAGGATAAGACCGTAATGCTACTTACCCCTGCTGAGCTGCGGCTTGACTATAGGTACTATAATCTGCAAGAAAAGAGAAAAAAAAAAAAAAAGGAGGGGAAAAAGGTTGACAAAGGCTTAACAAAATTAACAGTGTAAGAACACAGCAGCTGGAATTTCCTCCTGCAGCTTGAAAGAACTGCTATAAACCGCTGGAAATCCAGTTTCAAAAGAGTGTAAGGTAAATGCACTTTTTCAGTCTTTCTGAAGGAAACAAAACCTCTCTTCCCTTCATTGTTACTGCTGTTTGCAGCAGCAACTTTGATCTCAAATGACCCTACTTTAATTTAACTGCCACCTTGGATAACACCCAAGGGGGCTGGCAGGAGGGTGTTTTGTTTTGGAACAAAAGAAACACTGGGGCTGACACAAGCCCCTCGCCCTGGTTTCAAAGGGCCAGGTTGCAAGCTTTTGGGTCTGTAGAAACCACACCACACTTCACTCTCTCTATTTAACTTTCAAGAACACAAACAAATGGCTGAAAAGTTTTAACACTTGTCCCCTAGCAGGGTTTGAGATGGGCAGCTAGCAGTAATTCCTTTCTTAAAGCCCCAGTCCATGCCAACACCCTGATTTAGAGAACTGGAATTCTGAAAATCCAAGCAGAAAAGTCTACGCTGAACTGGTCTGCTGGCGGGAACGGAAAATGCGTCCCCATGGCAATTACAAGGCTGTATTTTAAATGATTACAGCTCCTCAATGTACACTTTCCCTCAAAGTCACCAAGTTACTCCAGTTCCCATCCAAACGTCTAGAGCAAACGATGAATTCGTCACTCAGACCAGACCTTGACAGCCAAATTCCAGCTCTCCCGGGACCAGAAAAATCCTGAAGACAGAGATAAGCAATGAGTTCAGACCTTGGTCGTATCTGCTGCTCGGGCCATGGCATTTGCCTCAGCTGGAGGCAGAAGTCGGACATTAGTAGAGATTTTCTCAGGCAGAGCCAGACAGTCCCACGGGGGAAGAGGTTTCAGTGTTTCTATCGCGATCACATCTCGAGATACGCTGATCTCAGTCAGAAAACTGAATTTGAGGAACCTGACACCTTCCTACACCCTTCAGTTATCCCTAGGTTGTAAGGATCGCTTTAATGCCTTTATCAAGGCATTCGAGCAAAAGGCTGTTTGCAAACAACGGTGAAGCAGCACCAGGAATAATTTTGAAAATACTCTTTTCATCCACCAGCAGCCCCTGTTTCTTGGGGCTGTGGATTCATCTCTAATACAGCTTTCCTCTCCTCCTCCTAATCCCTCTACGCGAGCTCGCGGCTTTTCCTCCTTTGCACTTCCCTCCGCTGATACCAGAGCTCAGACCCTGGAGTGCATGTTGATGGACAAGGAAAGGAAATGTCATGACTCTGGTAGTGATTTTTGACAGATATTAATTACTTCGACCTTGCACCAGAGCGCAGGAATCAGTACAAGTACAGAAGGAAGATGACTGAAATATCATGTACAATAAAAAGACGCCAAACTGCTAACCAAAAGCTTCTACGCTCCTGAGACGCACCGCACAAGTTGTTAAACTACTTTGGCACCGCTCCTGCTTTCCTTACAGGTTGTCATGTTTAATATTGAAAAATCTCGCTTGTTAAATTCAGGGGCGCTGCTCTTTTTTTTTTTTCCGTCTACACGTGGCTCCAAGCCCGCTAAATCCTGAGTGTTAAAAACCATTAACGCCCATTCCCCCTCATCCATCTTCCCTCTCCTCCTGCATCCTTGTACCAGCACCGCTCCATCCTCCCCCACATCTCGCCGTACGCCCTCCTCTACCCTTGCCTCCTCTTTTCCTAGCCTCTGGCTACCAAATCCTCCCTATTCCTCGTTTAAGTCTCATTTTCCGCACCCTGTTGGGTTATCTCCCCAACCTTCGGCCCTCGCTTGTAGACCCCCAGCAACCTACCACCCTCCTGAAGAGTGGCCAGGACCTTGAGTTACGTATGTGGTCTTCAATTACAGACCCATCGCCCATCCCTTTGTACAGCCTTCCCCCAGTCCTACCCAGACATGACGTTTTCCCCTTTCTAAGATTTAAATCCAGGTGTTGAATTTGCAATTTATCTCCGGTAACCTTCTAATTCGCTCGAATTTAGATTAACGCAAAACATTTAAAAAAAAATATTATGGTTCATTTAGTTAAAACCATCTCCGAGCCTTTATTTCCAGTGGGAAATTAATCTTCATCCTTCTATTTCACGAGGCTCAAGAGCACAATAGCGCAGCCGAAAATAGCAGCTCCCACGGAAGAACATTTCCATGTATTAAGTGGAAAGACAGCTGTATTTTTAAACCCCATTTTGACAATTCCACTGGCACATGTTTCTTTAGTAACTGTTTGGTTTTTTTTTCTTTAAAACCTCTCCAAGGTGATATTACTCATATTCCCTCACACTCCACGGCCTGTGACATTTTCCTCTGCAGAGAGGTCCAACCTTCAGCTGTTGGGCTTTAAGGCTACTTTAAAGACCGACGTTGCCACGGTTGGTACATCTTAATTTTAACCTATTTGCATCCAGTCGGAGCCCTCCTGTAAGAGTACGTTTCCTTCTATGATGCTTCACCGGCTTTATTAAAAAAAAATTACATTTACACCAGAAACCATCCTGAAGAGCCACCAGAAAAGCCAAAGGCACGGAGGAAGCCTTCAGCAAGGGCAGCGATCTCCTGAAAGAGCGTAACTCAAAGAACCTTCTGGGGCTGGAGCACCAAGGATCCGCTATCGCAAACGACCCTTT